TGGGAGCCAATGGGCTCCCGTTGCTGTCTCAGCGAATGAGGAGGAAGAGTCCCTGGACAGCAGAGGCTGTTGAGAACATCGCTGGAACAGAGGAGGCTCAGGTAAGGATGGGGGGGGGGGGCTGTCGGGAGCGCTGCACAAAGGAGGTTTTTTTACCATGCATTCAAGATACACATATGTGGAAATACCAATATCAATTCATATACTTTATATATACAGTGGGAAAAATAATTATTTGATCCCCTGCAGATTTTGTAAGTTTGCCTACTTACAAAGAAGGGTCTATAATTTTTAATATAGGTGTATTTTAAATGGTAGAGACAGAATATCAACCAAAAATCCAGAAAAAAACACGATAGAAATGTAATAAAAATTGAGTTGCAGTTCAGTGAGTAAAATAAGTATTTGATGCCCAAACAAGACATGACTTGGTACTTGGTGGAGAAACCCTTGTTGGCAAGCACAGAGGTAAGACATTTATTGCAGTTGGTTACCAGGTTTGCACACATCTCAGGAAGGATTTTGGTCCACTCTTCTTTACAGATCTTCTCTAAATCCCTAAGGTTTCTTGTCTGTTGCTTGGCAACTCTGAGTTTCAGCTCCCTCCATAAATTTTCTATAGGATTAAAGTCTGGAGACTGGCTAGACCACTCCATGACCTTGATGTGCTTCTTCTTGAGCCACTCCTTTCTTGCCTATGTTTTGGGTCATTGTCATGCTGGAAGACCCATCTTCAGTGTTCTGACTGAGGGAAGAAGGTTCTCATCCAAGATTTTACAAGGCATGGTCCCATCCATTGGCCCCTCAGTGTGGCAAAGTCAGCCCTTTACCTTTAGCAGAGAAAAACAGCCCCAAAGCATAATGTTTCTACCTCCGTGCTTAACTGTAGGGATGGTGTTCTTGGTGTCATAGGCAGCATTTTTCTTCCTCCAAACACGAGTCGAGTTAATGCCAAAGAGCTCAATTTTGGTATCATCTGACCACAGCACTTTCTCCCAATGCTTCTCTGAATCGTTTACATGTTCATTGGCAAACTTCAGATGGGCCGGTACATGTGCCTTCTTGAAGAGAGGGACCTTGCGGGTGCTACAGAATTTCAGCCCATGGCGGTGTGTTGTGTTACCAATGGTTTCTTTGGGGACTGTGGTCCCAACTGCCTTGAGATCAATCACAAGCTCCTCCCGTGTGGTTCTGTGCTGATCCCTCACTTTTCTCATGATCATCCTTGCCTCACTAGGTGAAATCTTGCATGGAGCTCCAGACCGAATGCAATTGATGGCTATTATGTATTTCTCCCATTTGCAAATAATTGCTCCAACAGTTGTCTCTTTCTCACCAAGCTTCTTGTTGATGGTCTTGTAGCCCATTCCAGCCGTGTGCAGGTCTACAATCTTGTCCCTGACATCCTTTGACAGCTCTTTGGTCTTGCCCAGGTTTGAATGGAAGAAAGAGATTGTGTGGACAGGTATCTTTTAGGTGCCTAAATTGACAGGACTGATCTGTGTACCACATGAGCGCATAGCCAGTTTGGGAGCCAGAATTATTGTTGGTTGGTAGGGGATCAAATACTTTTTTTACTCACTAAACAGCAACATTTGTATCGTGTTTTTTTTTTTTCTGGATTTGTGGTTGATATTTTGTCTCTATCAATTAAAATACACCTATGATAAAAAATTACAGAGCTTTCATTTCTTTGTAAGTGGGCAAACTTCTGCAGGGGATCAAATAATTATTTTCCCCACTGTAAAGATGAGTAATGGTGGAGACAAGATGCTGTCTCTGCGGTGCGCTTGAATGTAGAAAGGTAAAAATCTTGAGCCTTTTGGACCACTTTTAGGTAAAGAGGAAATAAACTGTATGTGAACACTGCAAACTGAAAACACTGTTTAGTTAATTTTTCATATTCAAAGCAAACTCACCCATCCACCCTTGTCTCCATGCTTTTTGTCCAGGAATCACTTTAAAACACCCCCTAGCATTTCTAGCGATGACTATCTCAAGTAATGTAGCAGGTTCTTCCTGAATCCATCTGCCCTTAGCTCAGGCATACCGTTTGGAGGGCGTACTTAGCTGAAAAAAACCCTCCTCCCCATCTCCAGATGGGGAAAAAAATGGCATGATGACTTCTGGGGTATAGGACATCACCTAGGTGAGAAATCAGGAAAAAATGTAATTAAAAAAAAAAAAAAAAAGTTTTTAACCACTTCCAGACCGGACACTTTCCCCCCCTTCCAGACCGGACACTTTCCCCCCCTTCCAGACCGGACACTTTTACCCCCTTCCTGACCAGGGCAATTTTCAGCTTTCAGCGCTATCACACTTTGAATGACAATTGCGCGGTCATGCAACACTGTACCCATATGAATTTTTTACCATTTTTTTGAGACAGATAAAGCTTTATTTTGTTTGGTATTTATTCACCGCTGGGATTTTAATTTTTTTTGCTATGTAAATGAAAAAGTCCAAAAATTTTGAACAAAAGTGTTTTTTTTATAAACTTTTGCAAATAAATAATATTTCATCATACATCTTTGCCAAAATTTATTCCGTTATCTTTTTAGTAAAAAAAAAAAATACGCCAAATTAGTTTTATAACCAAAAATTATAATTTTTAAACATTTTTTTTTACATTTTTATTTTATTTTTTTATATTATTATTTTTTATTTATTTATTTTTATTACATACTGTCACCCTAGCAGTACAGTGTCACCATGGTGACACTGTACTACTTGTGGGGGGTGATGAAGATTTTTTTTTTTTTTTTTACACTGATTGCTTTTACACCCACATAGAATGTAAAAGCAATCGTTTCTCTTTTCTCTCTGTCTGCATTCTTGCAGCCATTGAGAACTACTGAGTGAGCTGTGATTGGTCACACAGCTTGTCACATGGTACAAGGCTGTTGTGAATAGCCTTGTACCATGTGACCTCTGATCATTCACAGATTTCACACGTAGTAAGCAATGATGTCACAAGTGACATCTTGCTTACTACTTTGCATGTGATAACTGATTAGCCAATCAGTGATCACATGATCGGGACCTCGTACAGAGGTCCCGTCCGACGATCGGTGTTTCACTGTGTCCGGAGGACACAGCGGGCACCGGAACGTGGTGCTGCACGCTCCCAGGGAGCGCGCACAAGCAGGGTGCGGGGAGGCCGTTCATAAACGGTCACCCGACCCTGCAGTGCCACCGTCCGGCCGTTTATATGCAACGGCCGGTCGGGAAGTGGTTAAAACAATAAAATATAATATACCGTCCTGTCTATTTACTAATGGTATCAGGATGAGGATTAAAACTAGTTATTATTGAATGAGAGAATTTAGTTTCGCTTTAATACTAGGAAGTGGAAGAAAATAAATATTTTATTTTCCATGTGCCTTGAGGATGTTAAAGCAGAGTTCCACTCAAAAGTGGAAGCTCCGCTAATTTACCTCCTCCGCCCTCCACTGCCATATTTGGCACCTTTTTGGTGACAGGTACCCTGTCCCACTTCCGGCTCGTTTTCCACGGCAAACAGACGGAAGCTCGGCCCTCTCCTTCTGCAGTCTCCTGGGAACTTTCACAGGTCCCAGGAGACTGCCAGACCAATTAGAAGGCGCAGTACGACTCGCGCATGCGCAGTGGGCACCAGGCTGTCACAGCCTGGTGCCCACAGTTGAGATGCCGGCGCCGTGGAGAACAGGGGAGAAGGGACGGCACGGATGAGAACATTGCTGGACACTGGGACAGGTAAATGTGTGTTTATTAAAAGTCAGCAGCTACAGTTTTTGTAGCTGCTGACTTTTGATGAACACAAAAACAGCTGGAACTCCGCTTTAATAGAGATGCATGCATCTGGGCTTTTCAGGTTTGGAATTGAAAGGTCCGCTTAAGAAAAACTTCAACCTATTAGTATGACAGTACTTTGATGAATAGCAGTATGGAGTTTAAACCACAGAGCAAACCTTGATCTGTGTGGAGTATGTAATGTACTGCACCGTCTACAGAATGGGATAGTCAGGAGTGTGTCATGCACAACACATGGTAGGGGGGGATGATCGTCCACCATTCATCCCTCATTCATCCCTATACACTTGAAACACTGTACCGTACACCTATTTTCACCCATTATATCCCACACCCAACACAGTGCTTTCATCATTGGGTCAGTAGAATGATACCTATCAGACTAAATGCATGCCAGCACATCCTAGCCAGCAAGCTTCACTTTCCCTGAGCTTCATGATGGCTTCACCCAGCTCTTAAACATCACTCCCCTACATGCTGGTCTTGATTACTCTAAACATTGTCATATGTGTAGATATTGGGCCATCTTTGAATCATTTCCAGGTTTTCCCTTTAATATACAGGAACTATATGTTTGCTATTGCCATCCAGAGGATTTACCCCCCCCCCCACCTCCCCCGCCCCCCTCTTCCTGACCAGGCCATTTATTGCGATACGGCACTGCATTACGTTAACCTCCCTGGCGGTCTGATTATTTTTAGATTTTTGGTGCTGAAAGCGGTACCATTATTTTGCATGGAAATATGTAGTTTTTTTATTGTAAGCTGTCATTTTTAGGAATAACTCACTGAAATCTGTCCGAAAAAAGAGTCTAGTAAACATCCCGGGTATGATAATATTTGAAACACGAAATCATAAATTATAATTTAATAAATAATCATAAAAAATAATAATATAATAAGAATAAATTTAATTCAATAATATAATCAAACCAAAAACACTGAAATTTGAAATATAGCGCCAAGTTCGCTCATCGCTGAGCAAAGTCGCAAAATCGTTTTCAGTGCCTGATGAGGAATTTCCCCCACGAATCATTATCACTCAATTCTGCAAGTGGTTCTGATTTACTATCGCTGTTCTCTAGCCGGTCTAAAACCGCTTTTGACCTAAAGGGACGCTTTTTGGACGCCATGGACTTTTCTAAGTTTCCAGGCAGAAAGAACAGACAAAATGCAGGCAGGGCGCCGGACAAAGCACTCGGGACAACATGTATGTGAAATGGTTTGAAACAGCAATGTTTTACTATGTAAAATTTTTTTGGAAAAAAATGACATTTTTTTAAAATTTTCAAATTTCCCACCGCTGGCGGCGCCCGTACGTCCCGACGTCACAGGGACCGGAACACAGAAGCCGGATGCCGGCATCGACCGGAGGAGATGGCCGGGGACGCTGCAGGGGACACATCGCAGGAGCGAAGGACAAGGTAAGCTCTGCAGGGAATCCAGCAGCGCCGCATGGTAAGCCCGAGTGTAGCTCGGGGTTACCGCTTTTGGTACTGACATTTTATCCCGAGCTACACTCGGGAATACCGCCAGGGAGGTTAACTGAAAATTCTGCGATCATGTAAAGCTGCACCCAAATTAAATTAAATTTTTTTTCCCACGAATAGAGCTTTCTTTTGGTGGTGTTTGATCGCCCGTGTGTTTTTAAAAAAAAAAGCAACAATATTTAACTATGTGCTGTTTTACTATGGGGGCTGTGTGTGTGTTTCAGTGTAAGCACTGCTTTGTATGGCTCTGCTGGAGCTGACAGGGGTGAGATCTGTATCGTTTACATACAGTTCTCTCCCCTGTCAAAGATCGCTGGGTGCCAGCGGGAAATGTCCGGTTGGGACCCAGTGATAGACAGCCTAGGCTGCGAATGGCTGCGCAGTTAGGGCGCGTGCGCACCCCCTACCCGGAACTGTGAAAATCACGTATACAGTGAAGGAAATAAGTATTTGATCCCCTGCTCATTTTGAATGTTTGCTCACTCACAAATTAATGATCAGTCTAAAAATCGAATGTTCAGTGTATTGTAACACTGAGAGACAGAATAGCAACAAAAAATTCAAAGAAATACATGTCTAACAAATTATGCACTGATTTGCATGTTCATGAGGGAAATAAGTATTTGATCCCCTATCATTCAGCAGGATTTCTGGATACCAGGTGGCTTTCATACAGGTAACAAGCTGAGATTAGAAGTCGTCTCTTAAAGGGAGTGCTGCTAATCTCATTTTGTTACCTGTATAAAAGACACCTGTCCACAGGAGCAATCAAACAATCAGATTCCAAACTCTTCACCATGGCAAAGACCAAAGGTTGTCGGGGACAAGATTGTAGACCTGGGCTACCAAACTATGGCCAAGCAGCTTGGTGAGAAGGTGACAACAGTTGGTGCAATCATTCGCAAATGGAAAAAAACACAAAACAAGTGTCAGCCTCCCTAGGTCTGGTGCACCATGCAAGATCTCACCTCGTGGAGTGTCAATCATCATGAAAACAGTGAGGAATCATCCCAGAACTACAGGTGAGGATCTTGTCAATGATCTCCAGGCAGCTGGGACCACAGTCACCAAGAAAACAATTGGTAACACACTACGCCGACAAGGACTGAAATCCTGCAGTGCCCGCAAGGTCCCTTTGCTCAAGAAAGCACATGTCCAGGCCCGTCTGAAGTTTGCCACTGAACATCTGAATGATGCAGAGGAGGACTGGTTGAAAGCGTGGTCAGATGAGACCAAAATCGAGCTCTTTGGCATCAACTCAACTCGCCGTGTTTGGAGGAGGAGGAATGCTGCCTGTGACCCCAAGAACACCATCCCAACTGTGAAACATGGTGGTGGAAACATTCTGCTTTGGGGGTGTTTTTCTGCTAAGGGGACAGGACAACTGCACCGCATCAAAGGGACGATGGATGGAGCAATGTACCATCAAATCTTGGGTGAGAACCTTCTTCCCTCAGCCAGGGCATTGAAAATGGGTCATGGATGGGTGTTCTAGCATGACAATGATCCAAAACATAAGTCCAAGGCAAAAGGAGTGGCCCAAGAAGAAGCACATTAAGGTCCTGGAGTGGCCTAGCCAGTCTCCAGACCTTAATCCCAATTGAAAATCTGTGGAGGGAGCTGAAAGTTCGAGTTGCCAAGCGTCAGCCACCAATCCTTAATGACTTGGAGAGGATCTTCCAAGAGGAGTGGGCCAAAATCCCTCCTGAGATGTGTGCAAACCTGGGGGCCAACTCCAGGAAACGTCTGACCTCTGTGATTGCCAACAAGGGATTTGCCACCAAGTACTAAGTCATGTTTTGTGAAGGGGATCAAATACTTATTTCCCTCATAAAACATGCAAATCAGTGCATCATTTGTTAGACATGCATTTATTTAGAATTTTTTGTTGCTATTCTGTCTGTGTTACAATACACCGAACATTCGATTTTTAGACTGATCATTTCTTTGTGAGGGGCGAACATTCAAAATCAGCCGGGGATCAAATACTTATTTCCTTCACTGTATATACATTATTTTGTGCATTCGTGCCGCCCGTAGCAGTATTTCTACTATAGGGCGGCGCTGAAGCGGTTAAAGCATGTGATGTAGACCACACCTCACACAAAGCTTCTCTCCAACTACCAACCTTAGCAGGTTAGATCACTTGGTATTAAAGTGGAATTACGCTGCACCTGAGCATGACAGAACAAAAACAATATTTAATTAATTTTTAATATTCAAAGCAAACTCCTCCATCCATCCATCCATCCATGTCTCCATGCTTTATTTTGCTTAGAAACCTTTTTTGAAAAACACTCCCTAGCATTTCTGGTCATGTCCATATTGAATCAGGGCAGATGATCTATGTAGCATTTACTTCATGGAATCCATCTGCCCTTAGCTCATGCATGCAGGCAGGAAAGTGTGCTTAGCTAAGAAATCCCCTCCTTCCCTCCTGAAGTCTCCTGGGATGTATGATGTCATTTGCCTAGACATGGAAACCAGGAAATAACTGAAGAAACGTAAAAACAAGTTGAAAATAAGTAAATCTGATATACTTTCCTATCTATTTACTAATGCTAGCAACATAAGGATTGAACATAGTCAGTGTTGATTGAGGGAGTGAAGTTCTTTAAGTTACCAGTACGGGAATCTATCATTCTCCCTCAGCATTAGGATAAGAGAACTAAAAGGGATGCTGCCATGTAGTCTTGTGAAAATGTAAGTACGCCCTGTAGCAAACTTGCTCATCAGAGTTGGACACGGAGTTCCCCTTTTTCTTTTTCTTTTCTTTTTATTTGAGGTATTCCTCGATCGTTCACTCCCTACCCCCCCTCCCTTCCTGAGTGACAGATGGTGGGGGGTCAACCACAGGCTAGGCATTCCTAGTTTGGTGCCAGCCGTCTGCGAAAATGTAACCTTTCTCACCTACGTTCTGATAAGGCCAGCATTTCTCAGAGAATTGGGAAGCACTGACCCAAAACTGTGTAGGCCCCCACATCATAAAACTGACCAGCAGTTAATTGAACATTCCTCAGGTCAACTGTATGTTTCATATCATGGAGTATGAAGCTGTTAGTTTAATTCAGAGTTCCCCTGACCCCTCCCAAAACAGCGTAGTGGCCAGTGTTTCAGAGCCGCCCCCCCCCCCCCCCCCTTCCCTTTCAGAGGGATTTTTAAAAAAGACAGGCTGCAAGCCTGAAAGTTTAAGTTTTTAAACACATCTCCTCAGCTTAACATCGGAACGAGGAGATTAAAGAACCTTCCTGCTCTGCACCGTGGATCTGCAAAACAAGGCATATGGGCAAGTAACTTAACCCTGTAACTTCCTTCTTATTATCTCTTTGCTGTATCTTTATATACATATATATTTTAGTGACATCCCTTTGTAAATATTGTATTGCACCTGTTTGACTCTTTTAGTAATAAATCTTTCTTTCTGAAAGTGTTAAACTGTTTTTAAGCGCTTATTTGCAATTTACGAATTCCTGCCTTTTGAAGAGACGCTACTGTGTTTGTTTAATTCTCTGCCCAATTGGCCTGCGGTGACCGTATTGGACAGGCAACTTTTCAATCATTATAGTGTATATTTGATAACGGGAGTTTCCCAGTCTCCGACAAAAGTGGTGGTGGCAGTAGAGGGTTAGTTGCGTAATTAACCCGACTCAGTAACAAGCGCATTCAGGCTGCAGGCACCGATTGTAGCCCATTAGCTGGACAGTCGCTGTGCAGGGTGCAGCTGGGTGGGGCCTTGTTACTCGCGTCACACCGTGGTTTTTAGATCGGCTGGTCCTTCGGTCATGAGTTGGTGAGAAGGTCTGGGGTCTGACGCCGCGGGCGTGACGTATTACTGTTAGTCGTGGACGTGCGATTGTTGCATGTTGGTGGCGGCGACCGTGCGATCGTGACACGCCCCATGGACATTTTTTACTTTTTCAACATAGTTGGACTAACATTAGATCTTTATTCAAACGGTGCCTACAGATAAAGGTGACATACCTGAACAAATGACACAACTTTGAAACTATTTAAAACCATTTGTTTCATTGCAAGGCAATGATCTGGAAGTGGTGTATACTAGAAATTGGCAGTACATTTACTGTAAATCTACAAGACTATCCAGCCTTGCAAAATTAGCACAAGAGCTGACAGTTTGATGATAATGAGAGAGTCTCCAAGAGCCCAAAATATCACTGTAGAATCCGCTGGTAAAGCTGGCCATAGAACAAATCTGGGCTGGTTCAGCAGGAAGTGGCCGAGATTCGATCCATCTATGGGTTGGCTGGCTGTACCGAAGTCGATTTATCATTAGGCTTGGGTACAACCAGTCTGTCAGATTTTTTTACATGTGATTACTGCCAGCGGCTATAGCAGCTAACAGTAATCATTGTGTTCTGTTGGCAGGGAACACTCCCTGCTTTGTGAAATGATCGGCACTGCCAGCTATGGCTGGCGACACTGATCGCTGTATTCTGACAGCAGGGATGTGCTCTGCTGTCAGAATACAATAGCTCAGTGGGAAGGATCCCTCTGTCCACAGCAAATGTGCGAATGGGGAACAGGCTCATTTTTTTTTTCTGTTTAACCCCCCTGGCGGTATTCCCGAGTGTAGCTTGGGGTAAAGTTTCAGTACCAAAAGCGGTAACCCCCCCGAGCTACACTCGGGCTTACCATGCGGCGCTGCTCAGGGGGTCCCTGCAGAGCTTACCTTGTCCTTCGCTCCCGCGATGTGTCCCCTGCAGCGTCCCCGGCCATCTCCTCCGGCCGATGCCGGCATCCGGCTTCTGTGTTCCGGTCCCTGTGACGTCAGGACGTACGGGCGCTGCCAGCGGCGGGAAATTTGAAAATTTTAAAAAGTCATTTTTTTCCAAACAAATTCTACATAGTAAAACATTGCTGTTTCAAACCATTTCACATACATTTTGTCCCAAGTGCTTTGTCCGGCGCCCTGCCTGCATTTTGTCTGTTCTTTCTGCCTGGCGGCAAATTTGAAATTTTTAAAAAAATGTAATTTTTTTTAAAATTATTATTACATAGTAAAAACATTGCTGTTTCAATGCATTTCACATACATTTTGTCCCTACTGCTTTGTCCTGTCCCCTGCCTGCATTCTTACTGTTCTTTCTGCCTGGAAACTTAGAAACGTCCATGGCGTCCAAAAAGCGTCCCTTTAGGTCAAAATCGGTTTTAGACCAACTAGAGAACAGCGATAGTAAATCAGAACCACTTGCAGAATTAAGTGATAATGATTCGTGGGGGAAATTCATCATCCGACACTGAAAACGATTCTGCGACTTTGCTCAGCGATGTGCGAACTTGGCGCTATATTTCACATTTCAGTGTTTTTGGTTTGATTATATTATTGAATTCAATTTATTATTATATTATTTTTTTATGATTATTAAATTATAATTTTATGATTTTGTGTTTCAAGTTTTATCCTACCCGGGATGTTTACTAGACTCTTGTTTGGACAGATTTCAGTGAGTTATTCCTAAAAATTACAGCCTACAATAAAAAACTACATATTTCCATGCAAAAAAATAGTACCGTTTTCAGCACCAAAAATCTGAAATAATCATACCGCTAGGGAGGTTAACCCACTATTTTTAATGAAAAGATGAATCCTGTATGGCCAGATTTAGATTAGTTATTGTGTGATCAACAATCTTTTTTGATCATTGGCATTAATCCTGGTCTTGTGGTTCAGGGTGTGTGCATCAAAGCACTACATTGTTGAAAGGCGGGGTAATTCAAAGTGTTTAATGCAGTGACAGTATTTGGATTTTCATTTTCCAATCAGTGTGTATTAACCTGAATTCCAGGCAGATGTTCTTTACACAGAAGCATTTAGAATAAGAGTAGGAGGGTTATGAGATTTCCGCTGTTCTGAATATTGTGGTCAGTCTAGTTGAACAAGTTCAAATAATGACCTTTTCTTTGTTGAGAGGCGTGTTCACATTTTTTTAGGATTGCAGAACAGTTGAAGTGCGCTCAGATGTTAGCAGACTGCAGCTCCCCTCTTAGATCTTGTTCACACTTGACTCCTTTTCGAACTCTTAACAAACACTCCTATAGCTTTAGTATGGACATTAAATTGGCATTTTACAAGCTTTAACCACTTGACCTCCAGAGGATTTACCCCCCTTAATGACCACGCCTCTTTTTGCTACTCGGCAAGTTATAGCGTCTACAAACTATGGTATAGATACTGCAATTTACGCCATTTTTCTGCTGTACAGCGCTCTGCTAGTTTAACAGACAGTTGCGCGGTCATGCAATATGGTACATAAATGAAATTTATATCCTTTTTTTCCCCCACAAATTGAGCTTTCTTTCGGTGGTATTTTATCGCCTGTGCGGTTTTTATTTTTTGCGCTATAAAAAAAAAGGCTGACAATTTTTGAGGAAAAAAAACAATATTTTGAACTTTTGCTATAAACATGTCCAGTAAAAAAAAATTTAAAAAATCAAATTTAGTCATAAATTTCTGCCAAAATGCATTCTGCGACATGTCTTTGCTAAAAAAAACCCAAATACGTGTAAATTAATTGGTTTACGTGAAAGTTATAGCGTTTACAAATGGCGGGAAAGATACTGGGATTTGTAGTTTTTTTTTTTTTTATACTAATAATGGCGGCGATCAGCGACTTATGGCGGGACTGCGGCGGACATTCTGACATTGGGGGTTACTGACTTGGGGTCACTGACATCCCCAGTGACGCCAATACAGTGATCAGTGCAAAAAAAAAAACACTGACACTGTACTAATGGCACTGGGGAGGAAGGGGTTAAGGGGTTTTTTTTTTCAGGGAAGGGTTATCTGTGTGAGGGGAGTGTTTTACTAGGGAGCGGGGGTGTGTACTGAAGGGAACACCGCTGATCTGGAGAGGGAAACTCTTCTGTCCCCGTCAGCGTGTTCTCGAGCTGTCAGGGAAGTGACAGAAAGCACAGCTACTGCAGCTGTGCTCTCTGTCACTGATTGCCGCCGTAAGGACCGGCTGTGACCCGGCGACTGACATCCGCGGCTGTGATCGGCGGGACAAGCAGGGCGGCGGCACGCCTCCTACTTGTTTACAAAACACACGTTTTAAAAACGTGGTTTTTTGCCTGCCCGTGCCGCCCTGAGCCGTGCCGCCGTATTTCTACAGTGGCAGGGCGTCAAGTGGTTAAAAATGCTCCCCGAACACCCTATGCACAGTTTTTGATGCGTTTTACAAGCGTTAAAACTGCACCCCCAAATGCCTATAATATACTGTAATGTTATTAATGCGCTGTAAACCGCACTTAAAACCGCCCTGCGAACGCCTGCCAGCAAGCTTGTGGAGCGTCACCATAGACTTGAATGGGAGGCTTTGAAAGGACTCTTCAGGACTCGACATGACGCTTCAATTAAGAAGCAACGCTAATGCTTCATGTTTTGATAATGTGAACAGCACTGTGTGCTGCCCTTAGTATCATTTGCATAGACGTTTGAGGAGTGTTAAAACGCCCCTCAAATGCCTGCTTTCAATGCCAGTTTGAACTAGGCCTTAGACAGCTGTCCACAGAACAAGTGTCCCCATTAGGGCTCACTTTCACTTGCTTTAATCTTAACACAGATTAAAACTCCTACCGCTGCAACATGCATTTTGGATGTGCTTCTGTGATGCTTTCTTGAAGCTTTTAAGAAGCTTGGTAAATGTGTGTGTTGATTTCTATTTGTTTTAAAGGGGCTCAGTAGAACCCCCAATTCAGTAATATCCCCATATCATTAGTACCCCTGTTCAGCAGATCCCTTGCTTAGTAGTACCCCTAGCTCTTGTGATACCCCACTCAGTAGTACCCCCAGCTCTTGTCGTGCCCCACTCAGTAGTACCCCCAGCTCTTGTCGTGCCCCACTCAGTAGTACCCCGAGCTCTTGTGGTGCCCCACTCAGTAGTACCCCCAGCTCTTGTGGTGCCCCACTCAGTGGTACCCCCAGCTCTTGTGGTGCCCCACTCAGTGGTACCCCCAGCTCTTGTGGTGCCCCACTCAGTGGTACCCCCAGCTCTTGTGATGCCCCACTCAGTGGTACCCCCCCCAGCTCTTGTGATGCCCCACTCAGTGGTACCCCCAGCTCTTGTGATGCCCCACTCAGTGGTACCCCCAGCTCTTGTGGTGCCCCACTCAGTGGTACCCCAGCTCTTGTGGTGCCCCACTCAGTGGTACCCCAGCTCTTGTGGTGCCCCACTCAGTGGTACCCCAGCTCTTGTGGTGCCCCACTCAGTGGTACCCCCAGCTCTTGTGGTGCCCCACTCAGTGGTACCCCCAGCTCTTGTGGTGCCCCACTCAGTGGTACCCCCCAGCTCTTGTGGTGCCCCACTCAGTGGTACCCCCAGCTCTTGTGGTGCCCCACTCAGTGGTACCCCCCAGCTCTTGTGGTGCCCCACTCAGTGGTACCCCCAGCTCTTGTGGTGCCCCACTCAGTGGTACCCCCAGCTCTTGTGGTGCCCCACTCAGTGGTACCCCCAGCTCTTGTGGTGCCCCACTGAGTAATACCTCCAGCTCTACTGATCCTCTACTCAGTAGTAAGCCCCAGCTCTGCTGATCTCCCCACTCATTAACCCTCAACTCTGCTGATCTCCCACTCAGTAGTAACCCCCAACTCTGCTGATCCCTTGGTAGTAACCCTCAGCTCTACTGATCCTCTGGTTTGCTGATTCTCCTCTCTCTCCAGTCCCCGCTCACCTCGCGCTATATTGCTCCCATGCTGCACTTGATATGTGACATCTTCTAGTTACTCCCATCCTGGTGCCCCAACTCTGCTGATTCTCCCCCCCACTCAGTCTTTTCTCCCTCCAGCTTCTTTCCTTCTCACCAAGTGTGACATCTGCTAGTTTCTCCTGCTCTGGTCCCCTAGTTCTGCTGATCCACTGACGCTCTGGTACTCACCCACCTTCAACTATAGCGGTCCCATGTTGCGTACAACATGTGCCGTCTGCTAATTGCTCTGCTTGGGTCTGGACCCTGCTTACCTTCCAGCTGCTCCACACGTAACACTAGATGTGACATCTGTACCAGAAACTCCCAAAATGTGTACACAGGAACCGGAAGTGACTACTGATGACATCTCTTTCTGGTACACTTGTTGGTTTCCCCAGTGCCTCCTAGGATATCTCATACCTCCAAAACAAAGTGAAGCTGACTCTCAATAAATGCCCCTCAAATGCTATAGTTGCTGTTGGCAAGCTTTGTGATAGACTTATATGGCGGCTTTGGAGACGCTTTAAAAAACCGCATGCCGCCCAGCCACTGTACATATACGGCGGCAGGGCGGCACTCACAGGCAAAACCACAATTTAAAATGTGTGTTTTGTAAACAAATAGGGGGCGCGCGCGAGGCACGCTGCCGCCCTATTTGTCCTGTGGATCACCGCCGCAGATGTCAGTTGCCGGGTCACAGCCGCTCATTAGCGGCTATGTCCCGGCGATCGGCGGTAAACGGTGACAGAGAGCACAGCTGCAGTAGCTGTGCTGTCTGTCACTTCTCTGTCAGCTCGAGGATGAGCTGATCGAGAAAGAATAGTTTCTCTTTCTCGATCAGCCTTGTCCCCCCAGTACACACCCACCCCCCCCTAGTAAAACACTCCTCCCCTCACTCCTATAACCCTTCCCTGCAAAAATAAAGTTAACCCCTTCCTCCCCAGTGCCATTAGTACAGTGTGTTTTTTTTTTTTTTTTTTTGCACTGATCACTGTATTAGTGTTTTTTTGGGGATGTCAGTGACCCCAAGTCAGTACCCCCCCAATGTCAGAATGTCTGCCGCAGTCCCGCCATAAGTCGCTGGTTGCTGCCATAAGTCACTGATCGCTGCCATAATTCGCTGATCGCCGCCATTATTAGTATAAAAAAAAAACCCTAAAAATCCCAGTATCTTTCCCACCATTTGTAAACGCTATAACTTTCACGTAAACCAATTCATTTACACGTATTGGGTTTTTTTTTTAGCAAACACATGTCGCAGAATACATTTTTGGCAGAAATTTATGAATAAATTAGATTTTTGCATTTTTTTTTTTTCTGGACATGTTTTATAGCAAAAAGTCCAAAATATTGTTTTTTTTTTTCCTCAAAATTGTCAGCTTTTTTTTTTTATAGCGCAAAAAATAAAAACCGCACAGGCGATCAAATACCACCGAAAGAAAGCTCTATTTGTGGGGAAAAAAGGATGTAAATTTCATTTATGTACCGTATTGCATGACCGCGCAATTGTCCGTTAAACTAGCGCAGCGCTGTATAGCAAAAAAATGGCGTAAATTGCAGTATCTATACCATAGTTTGTAGACGCTATAACTATCACACAAAGCAATCAATATACACTTATTGGGATTTTTTTTTACCAAAAACATGGAGCAGAATACATTTTGGCCTAAATTTATAACCAACTTTGAGTTGCTATATATTTTTTATAGCTGAAAATAAAAAATATTGTTTTTCTTCAAAATTTTTTTTGTTTATAGCGTGAAAAATAAAAAGCGCACAGGTGATCAAATACCACCGAAAGAAAGCTCTATTTGTGTGAAAAAAAGGACGTAAATTTCGTTTGGGTGCAGCATTGCATGACCGCGCAATTATCAGTTGAATTAGTGCAGCGCCAAGTAGC